TGGAGCGGGCCTGGGGCATTGGGCATGCAGTGGAGCGGGCCTGGGGCCACCCTGATGCCTGCACAGCACTCGACGGGTCTGTGCTCTGCCGGCATCTGGTACTGAGAAGAGTGTGAGTGGGGGCAGTGGCCAGCTACAATAGCATGCGGGAGGAGGAAGGCACACAGAAGCTTTCCCAGGAGGGGTTTGGGCGTCTCGGCCCTCAGACAAGGGGTGATGAGGTAAGAGCCCCTCCCAGCGGAGCCTGCAGAAGTACTGTTGAACTGTCTTAAAATGGAAGTCTTAGCCCCTACGACCAGCAACAGCGACTGTATGTAGAGACAGGGCCTTTGCAGATATAATCGAGACGAAGTAAGGTCACACTGGATTATTACAGACCCCAGCACAGTGACTGGCGTTCCCCCAGAAGAGGAAAGGTAGACGGAGACCCACAGGGAAGACACCAAGTAAGGACACAGGAGAGCAGCACACGGGGGCGGAAGTAGGTCGGTACGGCACAGCTGCAGGCCAAGGTGCCAAGGATTGCTGGCAAACAGCAGAGGCTGAGAGGAAAGAGGTCCCGCCCGGCAGCCTGCAGGGCGACCATGGCCCTCAGACCTCTGGCTTCATGAACTGTGACAGAATAAACCTCAGTTGTTCAAAAACCCAGTCTGAATAACTTGATTATGGCAGTACTAAAAATGTAACCGAGAGGTTTAAAGTAAGATAAATAAAGTAAGATAAATGACAAATGGATACCCTCAAATTTTCAAACATGGTCCAGGATCCAAAAGGTTAAATTAGGCACTGAAAAATGCTCCTACTGGTGGCGTAAGCCAGTGGTAGCACATGGACCGCGCATGTTCGAGGCCCGGGGTTCAGCCTCCAGCACAAAAAATAAAAGAAAATATAATTTGAATATAGCTAATAAATACTTTCCTTGCATATCTGCGAAGTAGAGCACGTAAGGCCATAGAACAGCACAAGAACCACAACCCATTGTTGTGAAGCAGACAGCTACAGTAAGATGTCTTGAGGGTGTTGCCTCTGGGCTCACAGAAGGTAACAGTTGGCTCTATTTCCTGATTTTAAAAAGTGCCATTTGAGTATATGCTTTATTTCAATAGTCCAAGTTCTATTTGTTGGGAGTGCAGAAGGTTAGGACTGGAGAACTCAAATGTGTCGCTTCCACATTTGAGTCTGGCGGTGACAGTAAGTACCAGTGCTGCTGTAGAAGGCCAGTCTGGAGGTCGTGTGAAATTTCTGAATCAGAAACTGGGACAAGGAGATCTTCTCGTCCGTTTTCAGGGACGAGTCCCCGTTCTTCCAGTACAGCATGAGGTCCTCATCAGTGTAGGCATCTTGGGGAAAGGAGAGTAAGTGAACGTGGCCCCGTTACTCCCTGGCCGTAGGGAGCAACAAGGAGATCCTGCGCCACAGTGAACCGTGCTTCACAGCGGCAGGCAGGTCCCACCCCCAGGGTTCTCAGGCAGCACAAAGGTGGGAGAGGGGCAAAGGCACGAAAGCCGTGTGTACTCACAGCTCTCCAGCTCCAGGGAGCAGGTCTGGGAGTCCAGAGGAAAGTGGCTGAAGTCCATGTTGCACATGGCAGTGACGGTGATCCTGTACAACGCAAAGACATGAGCTGACTTGGGAGTCGGCCCAAGCTCCACCCACGCTCGGGAAGACCCAGAATGTCACCCATGTGGCAGCAGCCTTGGTCGGTCACCTTCGGAAAGCAGGCGTCTAAGCGTCTAACTTAGAGCTCTGGGACCCTGGTGGGTCTCCTTATTGGGCTCGCCGTCACCCAGTTGGTTTCTGGAGTGGAGGTGCTGACTGCTAATTGTCCACACCCGCATCCTTCTCTGGCACCACCTCAGCTATCAGGGCTGCCTACCCAGAAGTGCCTGGGAGGTGGGAACTGTGACATCCTCCACCCAAGAAAAAGAGCAAATCTTGTGCTAAAAATTAATTCTGGTGAACCACAAAGACAGGGCAGGAATGGAGACACTTGACACAGCCAGGTCCTCTAGAAGCCAGGCTAGAATAGCAGTCAATAAACAGTAGCTATTATTATTAATTTTAAACTTTTACATTGCCGATCAACTGGAACCACATACTCTAAGGGACAAAAAGTCATTGCTTCCATCAAGTCTGGGCCAAACTAGTCTTTTAACTAAAGTGTCAGTCCCCAGTGAAGAGGAAGCTGCCATCTGCATGGGGCAACATCAGACTGACATCAGAAGGCTTGTGTCACCCCAAAGACCCTACTCCAGAGACACCTCATCATGGGCAAAGGAGCTGGCAAGGTGACACTGGACGCAGGAACGCTGGCCCACGGGCTGTTACCTCATGCTGTATAGCACATGGCCGTCTGGGAAGACTCTCAGCATGATGTTGTCAGTGGTGGTGTCATGAATAAATGACCTTTTGGAGTGAACGAAGAAGACATCGGGGACCCAGATCTTCTTCACCAGCCGGCCATCAAAGGTCATGCTCTTGTTGCTGGTGCTGGGGAAGGCCAGCCTCTCGTCCCTCCAGTAATGCCTCAGGTACAGGGTCATGGTGAAGTCCTGGGAGTCAGGGAAGGAGCCAGATGTGTTTAAAGGTTTATTTATTTATTATTTATACAGTAATCTGTACTGCATGTGTGCCTACATGACAGAAGAGGACACCAGCTCTCATTACAGATGGTTGTGAGCCACCACGTGGGTGCTGGGAATAGAATCCAGGACCTTTGGAAGAGCAGCCAGTGCTCTTAACGTCTGAGCTGTCTCTCCAGCCCCCCAGACGTGTTTAGATGGAAAGGGCAGGAGAGCATCCCTGCCTGCAGTGACTCACCGTCCTCTGCTGCAGAGGACCCAGGATTAGACTCAGAGCGACCCCTCTGCAGGGCTGGGCACCATGCCAACATGACGGCGTTGTGGCAGTCAGGGGGACTGGCTCACTTTTGCAACTAAAAACACAGCTGTGGAGTCTGGCCATAGCCCAGCAAGGTGCTCGTCTTCAGAGCCCTGCCAGCCTTCACTAGGCCCCTGTGCGCAGGGTTTCTTAGTGTAACAAAGATAAACACCAGCAGTCAGTTTAGAAAGGAAGTAACTTTTGTTAGAAGAAAAGGGCCTCAAGGCCATGACTGAAAGACGCAAGATCAGAGCAAGCGTGTTAGGCAGAAACAGTACAATACATGGAGATCCAAGCATGATGAGGCTTAAAGAGGAGGAGAGGCTTCCCCTTAAAACCTGGACAGGAGCTTTAGGAGTAAGCTCCTGGAGGAGAAAGAGAAGTGGGAGGGTGGGGGGAAGGGCAGGGGGAGGAAGGCTGGTGTAAGAGGGATGGGTGGGGAAGGAGCCTTTACAGCAGCCTCCTCAGCTGCCTCCCACTAAAGCCTCAAACCAATCCCCTGAACAGAGGAAGGCATTGACCTTTAAAAACCCTTTAAAGGTGTGGGGAGTTTCATATCACATGATTTGGTTCAGCATAGAATATTCGACAAGGAGCACGGAAGAGCAAGTATCATAAACTGAGAGTTGAGCATTCTCAACCGATGGATTTCAGCTGAGGGGTCAGTGAGAGAAGCTGAAGAGGCAGGCATCCCTCCTACAAAGACTTCTCCCTTTGGACTGCTGAGATCCTTGAAGGCAGAGCCATGTTCTTCACACACTTAATTAGCATTCACCACTGAATTTAGGGCCCAGCAAGTACTCAGCAAAAGCTTGCTAAGTGAGGGGTGGAGGCGAACCTTGGTGCGGAGCAAGTCTCTAACTCGAGACCTTAGGTCCATTAAAGATGTTTTCTCACCGGAAAGCTAGACTAAGCTAGCTGTCAGAGGGCATCAGGCCTTGCCACAACATCTTTTCCATGCACAAAAAAAAAAAAAAAAGAATGGGAAGGGACCAGCCAAGTGCCCCTCCGGCCACACAACTGAAGAGCGTGCTGTGAGGGCACCAGAGCGCAGGGTTCGTGCCACATTGCAGATTCTCAGACTCCAACTGGATGAGGCCAACTTGCGTGGTCTCTGCCTGCCACTTTCCCTTCGCTGGAGCCCTGCTTTCCCACTGGCTGTGGGTTCTCTAAGCAGGGCCACAGGTCCTGGCTGGTTTTCTGTCAGCTTGACACAAACTTGGAAGAGGAACTTCAACAGAGACAATGCCTCCAGTAGATGCTCTATTGACAACTCTGTAGCGCATTTTCTTGATTGGTGATTGACACTGGAGGGCCTGGCTCACTGTGGGTGGTTCCACCCTGCGCAAGTGATCCTAGGGTACGTGTGAAAGCTGGCGCTGGGAGTGGTGGCATGTGCCTTTAATCCCAGCAATCAGGAGGCAGAGGTGGTCGGACCTCCGCGAAGCCAGCCTCAGCCACACAGGGAGACCCTGTCTCCAAAAAAGAAAGAAGGAAGAAAGCAGGTTGAGCAAGCCAGTATGTGTTCCTCCGTGGTTTCTGCTTCAGTTTCTGCCTCTGGGTGCTGCCTTGAGTTCCTACCCTGACTTCCCTCAGTGATGGGCTGTTGCCTGGAACTGTAAGCCAAATAAGCCCTTTTTCCATAAATTGCTTTAGGTCCTGGTGTTGTATCACAGAAATAGAAACCCTAGCTAAGACTTTATTCTAGTCACCTCTCCCTAGGATATCTATCTGAAGTCAGGCTTGAAGAGGCCCTTTATACCCAGACTTAGTAGCTGACAGCAGTATAGGGAAGCCATGCTGACCCTAGACCCAATACCCAAAGGATCTGGCGATTGTGCTGAAGTATCTTTGGAGACCTTCACACCTTCCACACCTAAATCCTCCTCTTGCCAGGAGCTGGAGCTCTGAGGAGTAACAGCACGTACTTTTCTCAGCTATGCTGTTCTGAGTCAGCTAGGCGCCCAGGGAGGGCTGGGAACTCAGAGGTAGACTCTTGCTTAGAGGTGCAAGACCTTGGATTTGCTTGCCTAAACACAGAACAAGGAGAGGGGAGAGGAGTGAGGGAGGGGAGGAGGGAGCAGAGAAAGGATGAAGAGAGGGAGGGAGGGAGGGAAGCTCCAAAATAAATCCACTGCACAACTAGATTGTGTGAATTGTGAAGGAAGAACAGAACCCCCAGGCCAGTGCTTGGGTGAACCTCTGAGGAACTTTATCTCAATAGAGACATAAAGGAAAAGGAAGCCTCCTGTGAGGAGCAGAGGAAGGCCATGAGCAGGAGAAGTTCATAAACTAAAAGAGCAAAAGCACAAGTTCATAAACTAAAAGAGCAAAGAGCACCAAAAGGACTAAGTCGTGGCAAGGCAAGCTCCCTTCAAGGTGAGTGAGCCTCCACAGGAGAGTCAAAGATGGAAGGAGGGGCAGGGTGAGGATGAGGAGGAAAGCCGTGCATTCACAGGGATTTTAAAATCAAAGCACTGAGGGGTGCCAGCCTGGGGCAGTTCCTACCATGTCCACCTCGGAGATGCTGTCCAGGCTCTCCACTTGCACGTCCACACCCACGGGGATGGCCGGGCCTGCGGAGGGCAGAGACAGCTGATTACGAGCATCCCTCCCCACCTGGGGCTGAGAGACCGCCCAGCTCCTTCCCTGTGGAGTGAGGACTGCCTGGGGAGGGGGCGAAGCAGGCCTCAGAAGACTATGTGGGGTGTCTTCCGCTCGGTCCTGATGTATGAGGTGCCTACATGTTATCCGTGACGTCAGAGACTTGGTCTGCACTACGTGGCGCCCCTAGGCTGAAGCGAATGTCCTCTGTGCCTGCTGGGCCTGTCTCCAGCCTAGGCCGAGTCTGCAGGGTAGATGGAGGTAGCAGTGTGGCTCCCGAGCCTGAGTGGAGAAGCTGACCACCGACCCAAGGTTGGACCACCTTCCTGCAGAGAAGCTGACAGACAGCTGAGGTCTGCCCTGACGTAGATTTCAGTCCAGTATGAGACGAGAGCTCTACCGAGTTAGGCCACCAGGGCAGCAGAAGGTGGAGGGCATCGAGTGCCGTCCCGTGACCGCATTTCTACAGCTGTTCGTCCAGGCATTTACCCAGCGGCCCTGTCTTTTTCTTGAGCTGGATGGTAGTTACACTGGCAACTTAGTGAGTGTGCTTCGTGAGAGATCAGTGAGCTGAGCACCTGGTTTGTGCACTCTTTTTACACGAATACTGTAGAAAAATTTGATGAGGTTGATATTCATAATGCCAGATATAGTGGTGTATGCCTGTAATCCCAACTAGTCAGGGCGCTCGGTCAGGAAGATTAATTTCCTTTAAGATTGTTTTTATGTGTATGGGTATTGCCTTCATGCATATATGTGTGAACTACTTGCACGCCTGTGCCATGGGTCCCCTAGAACTAAAGTTACAGTTGTGAGCTGCTGTGTGGGTGCTGGGAATTAAACCTGGATCTTCTGGAAGAGCAGCCAGTGCTCCTAACGTGATTGAGTTTTGAGACCATTCTTGGCAACTTAGCTGGACAAGGTCTCAATTTTTCTTTTTAAATAAAAAATTTTCAGTATTTTTAACTTTAATTTTAATAAAAGGAAAAATTAAAACCTGGCATCTCTTAAGCACATTTAATGTAAAGACATTCATAGTAAAAAAAAAAAAAAGACATTCATAACCAAACAGCCATTCTCAAGAGTCAGGTGAAGTTGAGGCTATAATGAAAATTTCCCCACAAAGACAACAACAGATCCAAATGGCGATACCAGCAAAGCACCGATGGTTTTGGAGGACATAGCACTGTTTCATACCCTCTCCCAGAAGCTATAGAGAGAATGTTTAAAGAACCAAAAGAGATATCGAAAAACATCAATTTATTTTATGAAGTCAAACAAAACGAAAAAGCAAAATCCCAAGCCAACCTCAATCAGGACATAAAAATCTAAACTCCTAATAAACCAACATCAGAATCCAGCACTAGACTTTGGGATTGATTTATTTGCTTGTTTCTTTGTTTATTTTTATATGCATGAGTGTTTTGCTGGCTGTCAAATTACTTGGGACTGTATCTACATGCAGCTGTAAGTTTCCGTGTGGGTACCAGGAATCAAGAGTATCCAATATTCCTAACCACTGAGTTATCACTCCAGTCCCCAGGCACTAAATTTTAAAAGTGTCCATTATGTTTAAGTCAGGTCTTGTCTTAGGAACTATGCATCTATTTTTAATGTTGGGGCTTTGTATGTATGTGTTACAGAATTGAACCTAGGGTCTTATACATGCTGGACGAGCACTCTACTGAGCTGTAAACTCACCTCTACCATTGGAAACAATTTAGGGATCCTACAGCTAACAACAGGAAGCTAGGTGGTGCCGGGAACGAACCTCCTCTCTGGGAGACAAGAGCTCTACACCACTGACCTATGCCCCAGTCTTCTCTCTTCTCCTGGGAGCATTTGCCAGTTCTGGGGGGAGCCAGGGGTGTATGAGGTGCTTTAGGTGATTTCTTGTGGCTCAAGGAAAGAGACCAGAGTGCCATGAAAGAGAACGATGAAGCCATTTTGTACCACCTTTCTAACAAGTACACCTTAGCAGCAAGGGCAGATAGAACTTCACTTTAATGCACAGCTTAGCCTGTAGAACATAACGTACCGCTCGGCTTCAAACCATGCCAGTGTCTGCCTTCATCATTTTTCTGTTGCCATGACAAACACCGTGATGAAGGCAACTTATGAAAGGAAACATTTAATGTGGAGCTCATGCTTGCAGGTGGTCCGTGGCTATCACTCGGGGAGCGTGGCAGCAAGCAGGCAGGTGTATCACTGAGGCCTTTAGCTGAGAGTTTACGTCCTGACCCACAAGACAGAGAAAGCTAACTTGGAATGACACACACTTCTGAAACCTCAAAGCTCACTTCCAACGACACCCTTCCTGCAATAAGGCCATATGTCCTCACCCTTCCAGAGCAGCTCCACCAGCTGAGGGCCCTGCAGTTCTTCAAAAGAATGAGGAAACTGGTGTAAAAACCACCAAAATCAGAGGCCCATGGAAGCAACCATGCACCTTATGGAGTTGTGTGATCCAACTCCAGGTAAGAGTGGAGAACCATTTCTCTCTCGGTTCCCCTCTGGCCTTGCGCCTGCTCTCACCTCCCCTCCCTCACCAGTGTCCTCACACCACCTGCAGCTGCTGACTGCTTATGCCTGTCCCGGCCCCGCCCACCAACATTCCCTCGAGGTGACCGTCTGGGTAGGGGGAGTAGGCGGGAGACATCCTGGGGCCTCCGGACAAAGGTGTAGGTTTATTTGCACGTGCACGTGAATATGGGCGTACTCAAGTGTTCTTGCGGTATAATGGAGAAACTGAATTATCCTTAGTCTGGGAACAGACTTTTGAAAAAGTACGCAATATCACATTTTAAAACATTTAAACAGCTGCATTGTTATACTGTCTGGATCTGAGTGTTTGCCTTCATTGTTGGCTTTAATGTGGCCTTGGGCACACATATTTGTCTGAGGGTCAGCTTGCTCATCTGCCTAGTAGCTAGGAACCTTAATTGTGATACTCTGCAGAAAGCCTGTGAAGGGTCTACACGCAGGATTGCCATCCCGAAAAGCCAGAATTAACCACTGAGACTGTTTTCTTATAGTCATGTTTTAAAAGCACAGATTTGGGAGGCTACACAGTTGCCCATCTATTACCAGGTTCCCACTAGCTTTGCTGACAAGGGCTTGAGCTTGTGGGTTATGGGACTAATGATTACTTTTCTGAGACAGGGCTGTTTTGCAGAAAGCACCAATTCTCCCATTGGGCCTGTAAATGTGCTTGACGTGTGAGGAGAAGGGATTGAAAAGGCTGGATCCCTGCCCTTCTGTTGTCTGCCCACTTGCAGCTTTAACCTTTGGTCAGGTTAGCTTGGCCTGCCCTTGCCTAAGCTCTTCCCTCCTTTTCATGCCCACATAAAAGCCATGAAGGCAACATCCCCTTCCAGGCCACTGTACCACCACCTAGGAGTCACCCAGTCCCATCCATGGCCTCCTCCTCTGTTGCTCCCTATAAAGCCTCTACAAGTAGCTGACACCCCAAGACAGTGTGCCTTAGCAATGGCCTCCCAGCTTTTATTAGTTTCTCAATATATCTTGTATGTGTGTGCGCGCATGCATGCATGTGCCTGTGCGTGTGCCTGTGTGTGTGTGTCCAAAAGTTCACCCTTAAGTCACTGGCCTTTTCAAGTTGTGAATAAAGAGTAGCAGGCTGTTCCCATAAGCAGCTAGGTTACCATGCCACTGTCACTCAGGCGGGCTCATTTGCCCAGAGGACAGCCCTCACCATAAGCCTCCTGATGTGGCCTCCAGCTAACGGAGCCAGGGGCGGGCCTACTGAGGGCTTCATCCTCCATAGAGGAAGGACTTTCTCCCGTATCCTGGCGCTGGTGCTTAGATTGCTGAGGGGCCGCACTGAATATCGGGTTCCCACTGATCGGGCAGGCACCCAGTGCAGTGCCACACCAGGACTGCCTATGGGGCCTGCTTTCCCCCACAAGGTTCCTGGCTCATCATCCGGGCCCCGGGGTTGCTGTGGTAAAGCTTTCCCCGGCAGCGTGGGCAGAAAGAGGACCGAAACCACACACAGAGCATAGCAGGGCAGCCTGTAGCTGGATGCCATAGGCTGCTCCGGAGCTTTGCATGGTCCTAGTTACCATGGAAACGGAGAAAGAGTATCTGCGACAGTCTGCATTACCTGTAAAGAAGTCCACATCAAACAAATAAAGAAATCATAGAGGGTTGTCCATGGGCAAAGAATTCTTCAGGCTCCTTCACAAAGCCTCTTTTATGATGACGTGTTCTCAAACTAACAAAATTAGTTAAAATGGAAAACAAAACTGTCATAACAATTCCTTATTGCTTGCCCTAACTTGACAATTTGGGTGTCAGATTGTTAAAGAAATGAATCATGTTTCTAGGAGTATTACTTTATGGTAGAACATGTGGCTAGCAGGTGGGGACCCTGGTTTCAGTCCCAGGGAAGAAGGTGGGGGAAGAGGGTGCGGAAGGAGGAAGGGGAAGAAAACAGGAGAAAAGAATAGATAGCATCAAGCTTAACTTGACTAAGTTCCTGCATGTACACCAGCGCCTCCCAGGTCCACACAGCTTCACCACTGACTGGTAACCTCAACACCTCACACTAAGGTCGCGTGCTACACCAAACCCCGAGCTTGGAGGTGGCTGAGGAGGCTCCTTTCCTCAGGAGCTTAGAACAATGAACGATGTAGTACAGTTGGGACAGGTGCCCCCTACAGATGCAATGGAGGCTAGAAAAGGCCTAGCTAATTCCAAATATAGGCGATAGAGAAAGTTCCAGGGGCTGGAGAGATGGCTTGGTGGTTAAGAGTCTGCATTTCTCTCCCAGAGGAGTTCAACCCCTAGCACCCACTGGACTGCCTTCGGGGCCCCTGACATGAGTGGCCTGTGCCAAGGTAGGCATTTCCTGTTGCTGCTGCAGGCACTCAGCCTGTGCGCGCCTGCGGGCCTGCACCTGCCTTGATGCTGCGATGCTCCTCGGTTCCTTTTCCTTTCTCGTCAGCCTTTTCCCTGCACCCATCACCCCTTCTTGCCATTCTCCTTTCATAAGGCCCTTTCTCAGCAGACATTTCCTTCTCCCAGAGCCAGCGGTCAGCAGACTCAGCCCTCTCTCCTGGCGTCAATCTCTGGCCCAACTAACACAGCTCAACTGTTCGTAAGGCCTGTTCGGTTTCTTCGCTTTTACGCCCTAAACAGACATACATACTATGTGATTCTAAAATAAGCCCCGGGCGGCTGGTGAAATAGCTCGGCAGATAAGTACTCTCCACGCAAGCCTGCTGACCCGAGTTCCGCCCGGAATCTGTTAAATACATTGCCTGTTAAAACGCAAAAGCCTGTAAGACAAATTAATTCCTAAATCCTCCAACCGTCACACAGGAGGAGGTCTGACAGCTGGACTTGCTGTGAGACGTGACTGAACCTGTGTCAAGGGCTTTGCATCTATTATCTGCTATCTGTTAATCACTGTTCCCATTTTATAAAGGAGCAAACGGAGGCCCAAAAGAGATTGGTGGCCCTGCCTGGGGAAAGCCTATAGCCTCAAAAAAATGTGGGTGGGGCAAAGGTCATCCCTGGCCTAGGAAAACGGGGTGGGGTAGAGTGGAGGTCCTGAAGCATGTTGAGAGGGCAGAAGGAAGAGGTAGCCTGCCTGGGTTCGTGGCGCCCGAGGCTGATCTCTAAGTGCTGTGGGCCTCAAGTCCTTCAAATGCGTGTGGTTAGGGCTGAGACAGACTGGGTACCCTGCTCTTCTCATTCCTTATCAGAGCTGTCTCCTCTCCCAGCTGCCTGGCCTGGATGCTCACGTCCTCCAAAAAGAATGCTGGGCTCCAACTGCACCCCAGGAGACACTATTAGAGCATGGGCAATTAGATCGTGAGATCTATTTGCCCTTATAAAAAAGAATGAGATCCATGCCCTTATAAAAGGGGTCTCGGAGAGATCCCCACCCATTCACCATGTGAGATGCGGTGGAGGTGAGAGGGCCAAACAGGACACTTTCATACTGTATTTTAAGAGCATTCTGTACGTCACATTGCAGAACAGGGTCTGCGCACGTACCGTGACGAGCTCAACAGGCATGTACAGTAATGCTACTGCTTGTTCAGGGTTGACGCCTAGTTTGGAGGTGCTGCAGAAACACGTGAGGCTCAGAGGCATGAGAGCACGACAAGCCAGCTGTCCAGAGAGATGGTGCCGGTCAGCCATTCCAAAGCTCAGCCCCGCCGCTCCGGTCAGGTGCTCAGCTTGCCCTTGAGAGACACCTTGTTGGTGTGTCTCTCCTTCTGTCCCCTGCACCTCTGTCTCCTCTCCCCGTCTGTAAGCTGCCAGCTGGAGAGGAGGCTAGGGCAGAGTTCTGCCTCCTCAAACCTCAGGCTTTCTGAGAACAACTGAGAGACTCAATGTCCAGTCCCGTGAAACAGCTCAGCCTGGGAAAGATGCTCGCCACCAAGGCTGGCAATCTAAATTTGATCCCCAGAACCCACAGAGTAGAAGGACAGAACCGAATCCTAAAAGCTGTCCCCTGGTCTCCATGCTTGGGCCACAGCAAGTGTGTACTTCAAAAATAAATGTGAAAAGTATACCAACTGGGGCAGTTAGATGGTTCAGTGGGTAAAGATGCCTGCCACCAAGCCTGATGACATGGGTTTGATCTCTAGGACCCACACGATAGAGGGACAACTGGCTCCCCCCTTCCCCCAGCGAACATTGTCCTCTGACCTCCACATGCACACCATGGTACGAATGCACCATACACACACACACACACACACACACACACACACGATAAACAATGTGATTTAAAAAAAAAAGACTCAGTCTCTTCTCTGGTCATTGTCATTTGTGGTGACATACTGCTGAAAGTTATAGTGAGTAGATGTCATACATGAGCCAAAAGAGTGAGCTCTCTCCACACAGAACCCGTCCAGGCTTGGGTTTTGGCCTTGTGAATTGTGAGAAGCAGTTGTTCATGGTTTCTGAGCCACCCTGCCCCTGGTGCTGTTATAGCAGCCCGAGCCGGCTGAAATGCAGGCTCCAGGTCCTTGGAGCCACGTGTCTGCTCCCTAATCCCAGGGTGGGGATCAGTAACAAGGGTGAGGGGCCTCAGTAGTGAGCCAGGCTACTGCTGCCTTGCCTTCTGGCTCCTCCACCATCAGGAGGCCCGGCAGGCCATGACTGTTTTGTCACTTTTTTTTTCCAGAAGACAGTTGTCCTGGTCTCCCTCGTGAAGGCTAACAGCTGAGTCGCCTACAGCCTCTTTCTGTCAACAGCCTCCCCACTGCCTGTGACCAGGTCTCTCCTTGGAAAGCGTATCTCACAGGGCTCGGAGCCAGCTGCGGCTAAGAGAATGACGCAGCTCTGGGGACAGGGAAACAAGGGGGCTGTGACCCAACAGTGAGGGGACAGGGCGTCCTCTTACCTCCAAAGGCTGGCCTCATGGTGAAGTCATGGTCGTCCACTCTGAGCAGAGGCCGAGGTTTTCCTGTCCGGATTTTGGTGGCATCAAGGTTCTTTTTATACAAGTGGCTGCAAAGAGACAGAGACGCTTTGCCACGGCCCAAGGCTCAGGGAGACACCAGGAGAGCCCGATTGCACGGACGGCTCCCTGTAAGGTCTGCCTGATCAGTGCTTTTTCTCCGTGCCGACACACACAGGGAGGGAGGAGGCTCCCACACCTCACAAGGATGTCTACCCAAAGGCAGGGCCTTCTGGGCCACTTCTGGAAGCAGATATCTTCACCTGCAGAATATTTTTCTGCCTGGCAAGGTCTTGTGAGTTGTGAGTAGAAGAAAGTAGCTAAGCTGAGGAATGGCCAAAATTACGAAGGTTTTTTTGTTTTTTTGGTTTTTTTTTCTTTAAAAATAATGTCCCAAAGCTGAGCATGGTGGTACGATGTCGCACACCTGCAACCCCAGTACTCAGGAGACAAAGGCAGGTGGATCTCTGAGTTCAAGGCCAGCCTGGTCTGCAGCGTGAGTTCCAGGGCAGGCGGGGACTGCAGGGTGAGATTCATGTGTTGTAGTAAGTATGCCGGGACATAAGCATGGTCAAAGCTCTAAAACTCTGCCTTCCCCAGCTAGACCTGGAGCGACTCCTGTCAGTCAGCTGGCAGACTGGACATCCCACATCTAGCCCCTTCGTTGCCTTCCACTCTTCTCAGGCTGATTGTGTCACCATAACCACGACACCCGAGAGCAATCTGATCACGTGAAGCACGTGAGTCCTGACAGCTGTTCTGAGGCAGGAAGGACAGTTAGTCTGCATGGGGCAGCCAGGCTGTCTCATTTGTATTGCTCAGGTGAGCTCAGGTGGGGTCTGAGCGCATCTGTGTGTGTGGCCGGCGCGATGCCCAGCAGCCACTGGACAGTAATGTGGAAGCAACGTGAAGTATGCCCCAGCCAGCTTCTAGAATGAATCTAAATTGATTCGAGCACATTCGGCCTAAGTTGTTTTAAACTAGATGATTCTTGGCTGAAACTGTGCATTAGGATTCTGCCAGGAACTTTTAAAAGTCCTGATGCTTGGGCACAACCCAGACCCCTTAAGTCTCTAGAAGGGACCCACAGTGGCTGATTCCCACAGAGCTGCACTGAGGACCACTGCTCCAATGTGATGGTCCTGAAGATCCTGTGACACCTCAGTGACTACAAACCCTCACTTCCCCAGTGGCTCTCAGTCTTAGGCACACTGGAATCACCAGCAGAGCCCTCACTCTGCTGCTGGAGGGTTGGGGTGACTGAGGAGGCAAAAGTGCGGGGACCTTCCAAAGCCTGCCGAGTGCTGGGTAAGTGGAGCCTGAAAGCCAGCAGGACTCTCCTCTGGCGCTGCCTTTTGGCAGTTTCCAGAGGTGCCGGATGCAGGTTGGCGTTGCCCACGTGTGGCTTACTAGGTGAGGTGATGGACATGGTCACTCGTGAGCCATGTGTGTGGCGTTCTGGTGTTGTAGAGGTAAAGGGGTAATTTTGTTCTGAGTTTTGCTCACCACTCCTTTTCCATCCTTTCATTTTACCCTCATGCTCCTGCCCCACCTACTCATTTTTACAAAAACAAAACAAACAAAAATAGTGTTTCCTGTTTAGACTACAGGAGAGAGGTGGCAGGTTTCCTCTCCTGCGACCCTCGGAGACGCCTGTCTTAACTTCCGTCCTCTACCAGCTCTGTACAGATGGTACAATGTAGTGGGGCTTCAAACCTGTGTGCGCCCACGAAGTAGCCATTTACAGCCTAGATAGAATTCAGTACAATTAATGCCCGGTCTCCCTCGCATACTAGCCATGTGGAAGTGCTCAGGGACAGCTCAGGGCTCGTGGCTACTGTCTTGGACAGTACAGATAATGCTTTCATGATCACAGAACATTGTATTAGCTGGGTGGCAGTGTAAGGGTTCCAAGTCCCCTGACCCACACGGATTCCGGCTTAGAGTCTTTTGGGGGCTGCCTCTCTCCTTTCACAGCCCCAGAAGGATGGGCGCATCCAGCCCCCCACACTTGCAGGGAGGGCTCTAATTCCACCTGGCCCTCCTCCTTCAACCTTGGGGGTGTTAGTAGCCATATGGACAGCCATCTGGTAGTTCCCAGGGCCCGGAATCAAGTTTGCTTGCTTGACATATTTCTGGGGGCAGCCGCTTTACCTGACATGCTCACGCCACGGGAGAGTGCTGCTCACATCCTCGTGGGCTTGTGACCTAGTTGAGGAGGTGACAATAAGCAAGTGACAGACAAATGATGTCACTTCAGGGGGTGCTGAGTGCCAAAAAAATGACAAAACAGGTAAAAAGAGAGAGAGAGAGAGAGATGGCTTGGCAGGACAACTATTGAGGTGAGCCACGGTGAAGTCTTCTGAGATGGGGGGCGGGGGGGTGAGAGGAAGAGGTGGAGTGAGCCAGGAGAGACAGGTACAGCTTCTTCACCAGGAGCATGGGACACCTCCAACTCGACAGCCGCTTCTCTGGCTCGGCCCATCTGCTTCTAGCTGACCCACCAAGTGTTTTGACTCGGTCTTCTGGAAGACCCCTTTACCGCTTACACTTTCTTCGACTGTGAGGTCCTGGGGCTCACAGAGAGATCTGACCCTCCTTGACACAGAGTCCTGGAACTCTGCCTTCAACCCCTGCTGCCAGGCCCCCAGCTCCTCTCTCTGCCACGGCTCATTCTCATGAGCAGTTTCTCCCACTTTGAACCAAAGCAAGCAGAAGGCCAACCCTCCTCCAGCCGCATTTCATTGGCCTCTACTGGAAACAGTAGCTACAGACGTGTGCTGTAGTCTGTTTCTGTGTGTAAAACAATGAAGAGTTCCCTCTTCTGAGCCAGCTTCCTGTTCCTCTCCTTCCACTGGCCGCGTCCCACCGCACAGCAGGACCTCTTTGGCAGCTGAGGAGCCTGTCCTGACACCTCATGACCACCAGAGTCCATGCTGGGCCCACTCCCGCTCGAGAGGTTTGGATGGATGTCGTGACCTGTGCCATGACAGAACCATATAAAGTACTTTTGCTGCCCCCACCCCAAGTCCTTTTAGCCTCACACTTGTCTTCAAACCAGATAAATAAATCGATAATACTTCCCCCAAGAGCTGGACTCAATGTGCTGCTCCCCTCTCCGCTAGCAACAGTGCCCAGCCCCAGGCCCTGCCCGTGCTGTGTGCTGGAAAAACAGGCCGGGAGGGAGCCCTCTACCCTAGGCTCTGCCAGCGGCACTGTTCTCTTTCAAGATAAGGCACGCAGGAGTTCTGCTACCCCTCTGCCTGTTGACCTCTCCCCAGCTCTGCTTCACCAGTCCCTCCTTCCAGTATCACCGAGGCCATGTCCCAGCACTCCTTTTCCCTCTTAGCAATCTCTTTGGCAGGCCCCATGCCAGTGGTTGCACTGCCATAGCAGATGACGACACAGACCATCACCTTCCTTCTGCTCTAGGCCTTCGCATCTGATAGCCTAACTCCACATCCCCGGGTGGGTACCATGGAGGACTTGATATGGGACCAACATCCCCAGCTACAGGCTGGGTGGGTGTTAGATGAAAAAAGGAAAGGGCCAGGCATGTGGATGAAGAGAATGGGGCTGCAGGAATATCCAAGCTCAAGGTCAGGCAGAGCCTTAAGAATCACAGGGAATAAGCTGGAGAGATGGCTCAGGGGTAAAGAGCACTAGCTGTTCTTCCAAAGTTCAGTTCCCAGCAACCACATGGTGGCTCACAACCATCTATAATGAGATCTGGTGCCCTCTTCTGGCATGAAGGCACACATGAACACAGAAGACTGTATAAATAATAAATAAATAAATTTTTAAAAATCACAGGGAAAGGGCTGCCTATTCAAAGGCAATGGAGAAGCAATTAATGGTGTTAAGCAGATGGAGGAGGGGGCAGTGACTAGATTCACCTTCACTAGATACCTGTGTCATGGTAAGAAGAAAAGCCCGCTTGACTTTCCTCTGCCAGAGCTAGACACAGAACTTGGGCCCAGTCCAGTTCCCCTGGGCATGAGCAGTCATGTCCAGGGGTCCTGAGTGAGGAACTTCCACACTCCCAGGAGTCTGAGTCTGTGGGACCCAGGCTTGGTCCCACAGAGACAGTGTGAAGAGCTGAGGCAGAACAGGAGAGCCAGGGCCACATATCTTAAGAAAAGGCTGGATATTTAGCATGTGAAAAGAGCAGGCTGCCCCCATTCGCATACACATCCCCCCTAAAGCTGGCATAGGCATAGCAGCACTCTAGTGATCCGTGATCGGTGGCTCACTGTGGTATTAACACTAAAACACACACCTCCGGGTGAACATTTGAGATGCTAATGAAACCAGGAGGTTGTTTGTTTTTTGTTTTGTTTTCTCTGTGTAGCCTTGGTTGTCCTGGACTCACTTTGTAGATCAGGCTGGCCTCGAACTCACAGTGACCCTCCCTGACTCTGCCTCCCCGAGTGCTGGGATTAGAGGGATGGGCCACCCTGTCCAGCTGTGGTGCATATTTTTAATAATAGCATTTGAGAGGCAGGTGAATCTCTATGAGTTCAAGACCAGCTTGGTCTACAAAGTGAGTCCAGGACAGCCAGATTTACATGGAGAGACCCTGTCTCAAGAACAAAACAAAAAACAAACAAAAAAATGCCAATGAGACAGCAATGCCTGAAATTGTATGTGGGCCTATATGTAACAGCTTGCTCAGGAGTCTGCACTATACAAATGAGCCACGAAGGCTTGCGATCCTTTGCGCACTGTCACTCTGTGAATTACTGTTTTGGTTTGCCTTCTATTGCTATGATAAACACCACGACCAAAAGCAACTTGGGACAAAAGGGGTCATTTCATCTTAAAGTTTGCAGTTCATCACAAAGGGAGGGCAGGGCAGGAGGTCAAGCAGGGACCTTGAGCCAAAAGCTGATGCAGAGGCCACAGAGCACCGCTGCTTACTGATCGGCTCTAAGTGCCCAGGGCTGGCACTGCCCTCAGTGGGCTGGACCCTGTCACATCAACCAGTAATCAAGAGCATGCTCCACGGCCTTGCCTCCAGGCCAGTCAGATGGAGGCATTTTTCTCAGTTGGGGTTCTCTCTTCCTAGATAACTCCAGCTTGTGTCAAGTTGACAAAACAAAAACAAAACAGCACAGCTACTGAACTTTCTCTTTGCTCCCACTTTCTCCACTGGAAATGTCTTCATCAATGTCTTTACTTCTGCAGCTGCATGTCTGCTCCGTCCCTGTTCCAGGACCAGGGTGGCGGAAGCACGGCGTCCGCTATAAGCAGATCACCTGCATTGGGGTGGATGAGGAGCTCAGAGGGCTTAGCTGACCACAGACATTAACTGTGCCCTCTGCTTCACGGGCGCCAATCCTTCCTGTCAACACGCCTTCCGCCTCCATCTAGGGAAGCATTAGTGAACCGGAAGTCGCCAAATGCTGTCACTCCAACAGGACACAGCAGGCTGAAATCCGTTGCCATTCAGGCTCGGGATTTTTTTTTTTTTTTTTTTTTTTTAAGGAACTAGTTATTTGATAACTGGAGTCACTAAAGTCCTCCTGGGCCCTGGATATTTGGGGCGACTTCTCCTCTCATCTTTGATTGGGTGTCGCCCTGAGCCCCACCCTCAGTAAGAACTGTTTGGGTGACCTTAAGCCTGGCCTTTTATGAGATGAAAAAAGGGAGGGGTGCTCACCATGCTTATGAGGACAGCTGTGCCCATGGGTCACATTAGAGGTCTGGATTTTGGTTTATTTGCTAATAAGTGATCATAACACCTGTTCTCACAGGTGGCAACGCCCCATGCAGGCACCCAACCATGAATTTTACACACTCCTCACCGGTTATCAAACTCCTTCCTCAGTTGGAGAAACCGAGGCTCAGCAAGATTAGAAAAGTTCTGCATAGCTAGAGAGTAGCTTCCCTGGCCTCTCAACTCCTTGTCATGGGCAACAATTACTTGTGTGTGGTGGGGGGTGGGGGTCCAAGAAAACAAACATGATGAAAACCAACAGAGGGATGCTCCAGGATGTGAAGAATATGAAGGAAGCCCAGGCTCAGAGACTGGAGAGGACAGACCCAGAGCCAGAGCTAGACCTCTGCAGGCAGGAAAGGGAAGAACTAGGAAGGATGGAGGCAGGGAGGAGTGGACTGACATAGGAGACAGAAAGGCAGGAAGAAAAAGAAAGTGGTGAGAAGGACAGCGAGGAGCAGACTCCCTCTGCAGCAATCAGCACAGGAAACTCCAAAGGTCAGATCTCCAGCATCGGGTCTTAAAAAGCCCCAGTTGGGCTGAATAACTGTTTTGTGTGAGTGGCTTGCCAGCAGATGCAGGAAGGCTGTCAGGTCAGAAGAAGGCCTGTGGTTGCTCGGATAGTAACACGTGTGTGGTGTGTGACTGTGAGGGAGCCCGCATACACTGTGACCAGCACCACCTGGGTGGTATGTGTGTATGCATGAGTACGGATTTTGTGCCTGAATAAGTCTTCTCAGAGGCTATGCACAGAGGTCAGATCACATTTTCCTACTTGTCAGTATAAGGTAACCTTATACTTATAACTCAGTATAAGGTATAAGTAAGAATGTCTTAAATAATGACATTCTGAAAACGAAAGGGTCTCACCTGAGGAGACCTAGCTCTGGTAGTTTGACACATGCATGTCCTGAGAGCTCCAGAAAGACCCTTCGTTGGGCTCCCCTGGCTCACCAGCCTTGCTCCAGCGAGGCGCACACCCTTTGGCTGTGTCCTGTGTCATCTTTTCTCACATTAACTCCTCATGGAACAAATGATGGTCCTTACCCAAGTGTCAGAATCAAGCTTTCTCCAGTGCCCACAGTGTCAAGTGGACTCCGGGTCTTCTGAGAACAGAAGTTGTGGCAGCTGGGCTGCTGAGTGGGGTCCTGTCGTGTGGGCACCATTCTCGAGGTGCTTTTCCCTCAGTGTTTGGGAACCAACACCAGAGAGACTCACACCCCGGAGGTGTTCATGCATTAGTGAAAAAATGAGCCTGTTTTCTAGCATGTTCTCAGTGGGAGAGAGTTCCACAAGTTGTTTTATCACTGTGAAGAATCACTGTGACCTAAGCCCCTCCTCACGGTTCATAATGCCCATTTGAACCAAAAAGATTCGAGAATTCTGTTGTGAAGACAGCTGTTTAAAATGGCGCACACCAGGGTTTCCCAACCTCCTATGACCCTATATCTCCTATTCACACAACCCTTGATCACGTTTCCCAAAATCAGGGTTCAGAAATGGACCAGGTAGTTTCTGAGGTCCTACCTGGTTCAGGCCTGTACTCATGGACACCATGAGTACAAAATAATTTTGGACTTTGCTTCCTGGCTGAGTAAGACAGACCCTCAGAGAAATCCAGGTTTCCCAAAGTAGCAGTCTCCACTGAAGTGCTGGAAGTTGGTTATAATTCTTACTGTTAGCTTCTTTCTGAAAATAAGGTAGCAGCCAAGACTTAATCCAGTATGCCTATCTACGGTCCTGCATGCATGTGTATGTACAGAATGTAAATAGTAGCGAACGAGCCAGATGAGAGATTCAGAGATACATAGATAGATATAGACGCATACATAAAGCGATGATAGGTAAATGGCTAGAGAAATTACAGGTGCAGTTTCCAGAAAATGGTACAGACATGGTCAAAGACGTTTGAAGACCACTGACGTACACAATTTGCCTCACACACTCAAGGCGCTGCGAATAAACAAACTAACCAACAATGGCCCTATCCATTTCTATTCGGAAGCACCCATCCTCAGAGTAGCTGGAGGAACAAGTGCAAACCATTTCACACGGGTGTTTCTGTCTGACCGTTCGCTCTTCTTCTTTCCCAACAGCCCTTACGCCTTAGCTTGGGGGAATCAAGTTCTGTACATCTATCCAAATCAGATTTACTAGGAGTGGAGATTTTTTTTTTTTAATCAGTTTTTTTTAATCAAATTTTTTTTAAACAGTTTTCAGTTCAAAATCTGAACCTCATCAGTATTGCTTGGAAATGTCTGCTGCAGCTCACTGTTGCTGCTCATGTGTTGCTGACAACTTAACACGTGACACAAAGCATTGATATGATCAAGTTCTCCACCAATAGATAATTTTGAAAAGAAGCCTCAGTTAGATTTTGTCTATTGTTGTCATGCTAAGGTTACAACTGTGGACCTCACATGCTCTGCGAGCACCCTGCCATTGAGCAAACCTTCAGCATTCTGTGTTTTATTAATAGTTCACATTAAGTCCTTATCTACATTTTCCCCTACAACACTTGACTGAAATCCTCCAGCCAAACCCCATGTCCCCTGCAGCATATAACTGAGAGAAGCAAAACAGCAAAATTGGGAAACACAGATTTTTTACCCACCAAGCCTGAGCCATCTACCAAACGTCCTCGAGGACAAGGGTGTCAAAATCCAGAATCGACACTTCCTATAGCATGGCTGTATGGAAAGCTAGCACTCTGAGAGGGCGAAGGTCCTCTAGCCCGGGCATTCTGATAGGGTATTTAAAGTAACTGCTAGCCCTCCTGGGGAACCTTCCGGCAACACCCTTCCTCCCTCCTCACCCAGCAAGCCTACCTTGGCTTGGATGTTTCCAGCTGCCCTGTCCATCTCTTCCTCCTGGGCTTTCTGCTCTCCACAAGAGCCATCAGGCAAAACAAGAACAAAACAAGTCTCATAAAATAAGGCATTCTGAAATGTCTATGATGCAGCAGGAAGCTGTGCAGGGACCTTCAGCGGGGAAGATGCTCCCTGACTTAACCATGGATCTTGTCCCCAGCGCCCTGCCAGTGCCTCTCGGAGAGGCTGTGAGGGCATGTTTGGCAAGGCTGAGTTTCCCGACCTACTAACTGATACTGATGCCTGTCTAACGCCCACCCCCAAAACACCTGAGCAAAACGCCAAGCTTTGTCTTTCCTCTGCTTAGAGATTGGACGTTAGTGAAGGAGTCTGTTCTCCTGGGAAAGTAGGGTTCCTCTGAACCCTAGAACAGCTTTGGCTAAGGCTGTTATATAAAAAATATTTTAAATCTCTTGAACATGCCAGCTTTTTGCTGAGATCATTAATCCATCTCTCTGGCTGCATAAAACCAGTCTGTCACATCCAGCAGTAAGGCAGCTTTGGTTCTGAGTGGATTTGCAAGTGTTTGGGGAAAGCTAAGACAAAAACAGTTCCAGAGGTTGCTGTGACCTACAAGGATGCACCTCGCCTACGGCTGAGCATGAGCTTTCACCTCAGATACACACCTCCACACGCACACACAAAACAAAGACGTTCATTTGAAATCGAAGAGCCGCATAAAAAAAGAAACGTCATGATTCTGTAACCTATTTTTCCTATCATGAGCACTAAACTAACTTTGCTCTTTGGCCCTGAAATGTGTAAAGTCAGACATCATCAACGGACTGGATTTCTACCCTTGAAATAAAATTGTGCCCACTTGAAGTGTAGAGATAAATGAGGCCATGTTTAACCTGCTGAACAGTACAGTGTATTTTAAAATTACTTAAAGCTCTGTGACTGTGTACTGGCAATGAAGAGTTCAGTGAAAGACAAACAGATCCTAGGATGGAGGTTTGGTGGAAAGAGACAAAATTGAGCTTTTTTATGTGATGAAAAACGATTCAAAAGCTCCTGCTTTTGAATGATATGATACATCTTATTTTGTAAGGATTCCTAATCTGAATGAGTTGGGTCAGGAAATCAAAATAGCCAGAGAGGATAATGTAAGAATGTGTTAATCCCAAAGATTCAGGGAGAAAGGCCATTGACCCAAATCATCATGACCAAATTTTAATTAAGACTAGATTTTTTTTTTTATTCATGTACACAGGTTGCCTTCCTCTAAGGCAGGGTTCGAGAGCTCAGCATTGGAGATAGGCAAGATGAAGGTTTTAATAACTCAGGCGTAAGGGTTTCCAAATGGGAGACTTGACAGGAAAATAGGTAGAGTTATAGGAACAGCATAACAAGTTGGTCATGACAAAGGTAGTCATAACAACAGGTGGTTATAACAACCCTTTTAAACAAAGGTAGGGTTGCAAGATGGTCAGTCATAACAACTTTTTGAAACAAAGACATAGTTGCTGTTTCCTGGAACAGAAAGTATAGAACTATTTGTAGTTAATTACAGGTGGGGTACCCCAGAAGCAGAAAGACACACAGGGTGTATACTCACTCATAAGTGGATATTAGACATATAATATAGGATAAACCTACTAAAATCTGTACACCTAAGGAAGCTAATCAAGAAGGAAGACTTTGGCTAAGATGTCCAATCCCCATTCAGAAAGGCAAAGAGGATGGACATCAGAAGAGGGAGAAAACAGGGAACAGGACAGGAGCCTACCACAGAGGGTCTCTGAAAGGCTCTATCCTGCAGGATATTGAGGCAGATGCTGTGACTCATAGCCAAAATTTGAACAGAGTGCAGGGTATCTTATGAAAGAAGTGGGAGATAGTAAGACCTGGAGAGGACAGGAGCTCCATAAGGAGAGCAACAGATTCAAAAAGTATGGGCACAGGAGTCTTTTCTGAGACTGATACTCTAGCCAAGGACCACTCATGGAGACGGCCTGGAACCCCTGCACAGATGTAGGCCATGGCAGTTCAGGGTCCAAGTGGGTTCCATGATAATGGGGACAGGGACTGTCTCTGACATGAACTGATTGGCCTGCTCTTTAATTACCTCCCCCTGATGGGGGAGCAGCCTTACCAGGTCACAGAGGAAGACGATGCAGCCACTCCTGATGAGACCTGATAAACTAGGATCAGAGGGAAGGGGAGGAGGACCTCCCTTATCAGTGGACTGGGGGGAGGGGCAGAGATGGGGAAGAGGGAAGGAGGGTGGGATTGGGAGGGAGGAAAGGAGGTACAGGGGGGATACAAAGTGAATAAACTGAAAATAATATATATAAAAGATTACTGTTGGGGCATAACCCATTCGTGAAACAGAAGTTCAATCATAAACAAAAATGAACCTAGTATGTCTTTACTAGAAGATGACTTTTAAGCCTAAAATGGAGGCAGGTTGTTCATCATTGCCCCTTTGTCTTATGTGTCCCTGTCAAGTCTTTGATAGGGTCTTAGCATCCTTTTTGGGGGGTGACGGGACAAAATTTGTATTGCACCAAAAGATTCATTGCTCATTTATAAACTATACCTGTTTAGTTATCATAGAAAGATCAAAAAATTTAAGGCCATATAATTTTGGTATGCCAATAGGTGCTATAGGTAGCTATTTTGTTTCCTTTGCCAGAGAGTTTCCTTTTGAGCTAATATTCCAGCCCTTTGTTGAGGATAAAGGGTGATATGTTCTTTTCTGTAACTGCTTCCTGCTAAAATTAGGATGCTATTGTCAGGGCCCAGGAAAGCTAGAACGTTAGTGAAGTGCGGGGGGGTGGGGGGGACTAGGGCAAATGGGCACTCATTAGAAGCAGCTGGTGGCTGCTTTCTATCCGCCTTCAGCAAGCCCAGGGCTTTCTGGTTTGTAGGATTAGCGCGGCGTACATCACCTCTGGAGCAACTGTAGTGTGAAGCTGATTTCTGGGTCGGGGCTACCAACCAAGTGGAACTCTGCCAACACTAGGAACAGATGTTAAAGAACTTAAAGGAGATTTTTATATTTGTACCCTCATAATTTATTTAGGTTTTTATATCCTTAGATAGTTATAATTTGAATTATTTTAAACTTGTATAACTTATATAAATCTTAACTTTTTATCCAATTATTTAACATAGGTGGTTAATTGCTAAGAACAGTCTTTGCAAAGCAAGTTCCTCTTGAGTAAAAGTTACATTTGAAACCTATTTAATCCTTTAATATGAAGCCTGTTAGTAAGACAAATCTGTCTGTGAGTTTGCATTTTTCATCAGGTGACCTCATAGCTCTAGAAAAGTAAGGCTTGTGGTGTGTGGTGTGTGGCCAGGCATCTATATCTAAATTGATAAAGCTACAGTTATCTCTCGACACCATCAGATTATAGCAGGAAGTATAGTCCAAATGGCCTGTGTATCAATTAAAATAACAGAGGCTTACCACTGTCTGGGCAGCCACCCTAGGCTCCTTTAGTCTTGGTGACTCCACTGGGGGCAGTGGTCAGTGGTCTTTGGCTATCACATAGGACAGCATTAACTGTTCAAATGCTCTCAAAGGACAGTATAGGACTTTGGCTGCCGGGCCAAGGTCTGAAAGATTTTTCTTTGGAGGAGGTACTTGGAAAAGCTGGTCTGTTGTGACTAGGCAGAGCAGAGATGTTGGCCCAACAGTGTGCAGAGTTTGAGCAGAGCCCTGGCGGCAGGAGCAGTTTTGCCCAGCGGTTAGCATTACCACAACCCAGACAGAGCTGTCCATGCCGTGTTATCTTCTTGTAGACCTTAGGGTTGCCTCTGGGAGCTGGCATTTCTGTCTAGCATAGGAAGCTTTTCCCAACAGACATTTTAAATACCACATCCAGCTGAGCTCTGAGGAGTTCTGAAGGCCATCTATTAAGTCTTCCTGATTTTATTTTATTTTTTAAGAATTATTTATGATGTATACAGCATTCTGCCTGCATGTATGCCCTCGCACCAGAAGAGGGCACCAGATCTCACTATAGATGGTTGTGAGTCACCATGTGGTTGACTGGGAAATGAACTCAGGACCTTTGGAAGAACAGTGTTCTTAACCTCTCACATCTCTCCAGGCCCAGTATTCCTGATTTTAAATAAACGTTACTTGTTTTTAGTTACTTACTTTAGGTTTAACCTTGTAAACATATACAGGAGGCTAAATAAAGCTTATCAAAATAAAACTTTAAATCATAAATACAGTCCATAGAGAATCTGACAACCTTATTTTCCCCATCTTTTTATAGTGTACCATTGCAGAATATCGGCGTTTCTTGTATGACTAGTTTATCAAAATAGGTAAAACTTAATAAAATTAGCTAGATTCCTAAGTCAGTCTCTGTTAGTCTGACTAGGCCTTAGGTAAAGAGAAAAATTCTATAGGCTCTTTGTCAGACTGCTTAGGTCATTGTCTTGCTGCATCTTAAGTCAGGAATATCCTACTTTCTGGTGTTTAGTATTTGTTGTTTATAGTTTTGACCCTAACTTCAGTTGGGTGGCAAATACACTGTGCATTTGGGATTCCAGCAGAGCCTTGAGCTCTTCTCAGGGTGAGCCTTTAAACATAAAAACCAGGTTTTGGGTTGACATATTTCAGTTAACAAGGCTAGTTATCCAGACGCAGTACAGCAGGGGTTAAAAAGCCAACTTGGCACATTTGGAGATTTGTCCAGAAGGATGGACTTTGACAGAGTAAGTCTTTGTTCTTGTTTTTGCAGGTGATGCTGTCTACATGCTGAATTTTACAACCTGAATAGTAAAGGTATTTGTGTATAAATTTGTAATTATTAATCCTCCATTATAAAGTTTAAAGTCAACTTTCATTACAGATTCTACAGATTTTAACCATATCCAATAAACATACAAATCCTGAGGTACAAAAAGTTCATATAATAGTCTTACAAATCTTGAGATAAGTTTTAGACAGTTAGATGAGACCAATATTCTAATTTTTTTTTAGCCTCGCCTGACCTAAGACAGAAGCTTCCCAGCTCAGCTTTTCAATGTGGCAGAACAGCATAAAAAATATTTCCACATTACCCATACCCAAAGACATCTGTATCCCTACTAAACTGAATCCAGTAGCCAGAAAGCCCAG